TATATCCGCCTTCTTTCATTTATCTTTCCATTCCCAGAACAATATACATAAAGAAATGGCATATTTTGGACATAGTTCGAATGGTGATTAATCTGATTAATTAATTTTTAAACTGTGATTAATCTGATTAAAATTTGTAATCGTTTGACAGCCCTAGTATTACGGCCCGTCCACACTACAGCGTCTGCAGCGTCGAGAGCTTCAATCTGCCCATTCACTTTGAATGGGGTGACATCACGTTGCCGCTTTTTTTCGCCGAACTGAATTGTGGGTAGCAGAGCGGTCCGTCTCCGGCGTCTCAGGCGACAGAAGTTGAACAATGTTCAACTTCTGACGCCGGAGTAGCCAGCGCCAGCAAATCAAATCCCGTTTCGGAAAATCTGACAGATCAAGCCGTAGCCAATCAAACCGCGTCTAAGCTGGGAGAGATATCCCGCCGTTCATTTCTATATTTCAAAAAAAGATGGAGGAGAAACTAATTATTGCCGTAGCGAATCACCCGGTTTTGTATGACCAGACCCTCTTCACCTACCCGGATACAAACCGGAGGAACCAGGCATGGAGGGAGGTGGCAGAGACAGTGGGTGAAACTGGTAGGTTTTCGCCTGTTTGGGGAGTTTATATATATATATTGCTCCCATAAAATCCCCGGGGGTTTTTGCTTTGTATGTCGGGGGCGGGAGATTCATGTGATTGGTTGTTGGTCGTGTTGCTTGAATAACATCCCCAAGCTTCAGACACGCCCAGCTCCAAGCTTTTTTTGGAGCTGTAGTGTGGACGCTCCGTTAATGTATGCTGATGATACAGTTGTTTTTACTCATGGCAAAACCGCAGAAGAGGCTGCTACCAAGGTCACTGATGTGTTGGAGAATATTACATCCTGGCTTAACAATAATTGTTTGCAACCAAATGTCTCAAAGACAGTGTGTATGTTCTTCTCCAAGGGCCACAGCATTATAACAGAACAAGATGTTTTCCTTTCTGGAAGGAGACTACAGGTTGTCTCGGAGTACAAGTACTTAGGAGTACATATTGACACAAACCTCAATTTCAAAACCCATATCAAAAAGGTCTGCAATAAAGTAAAGTGCAATCCGTCAAATTACAGATACATTAGAAACTTCCTTCATCTGCAGCAGCTAAGCTATACCTTCACTCAATGTTCCTCTCCCACATCTACTACTGTCTGATCAGCTGGTCTAATGCTCACTCTACAGCTCTAAGGCCACTGAACTAACTCCATGGTCCTCTCCCACATCTACTACTGTCTGATCAGCTGGTCTAATGCTCACTCTACAGCTCTAAGGCCACTGAACTAACTCCATGGTCCTCTCCCACATCTACTACTGTCTGATCAGCTGGTCTAATGCACACTCTACAGCTCTAAGGCCACTGAACTAACTCCATGGTCCTCTCCCACATCTACTACTGTCCGATCAGCTGGTCTAATGCTCACTCTACAGCTCTAAGGCCACTGAACTAACTCCATGGTCCTCTCCCACATCTACTACTGTCTGATCAGCTGGTCTAATGCACACTCTACAGCTCTAAGGCCACTGAACTAACTCCATGGTCCTCTCCCACATCTACTACTGTCTGATCAGCTGGTCTAATGCACACTCTACAGCTCTAAGGCCACTGAACTAACTCCATGGTCCTCTCCCACATCTACTACTGTCCGATCAGCTGGTCTAATGCTCACTCTACAGCTCTAAGGCCACTGAACTAACTCCATGGTCCTCTCCCACATCTACTACTGTCTGATCAGCTGGTCTAATGCACACTCTACAGCTCTAAGGCCACTGAACTAACTCCATGGTCCTCTCCCACATCTACTACTGTCTGATCAGCTGGTCTAATGCTCACTCTACAGCTCTAAGGCCACAGGAATCACTGTATAAACAAGCACTCAAAACGTCAATCACCATCTGGCAAAGGGACTATCGATGAAAACTAGCCTTTTGGCTAATTAAGTACTTTTACATGTTTTTAATATGTTGATTAATGTACACTGTCCCATGTTTTAAATAAATCAATTCAATGGAGTGACTCAGCATGTGACGAAGCCCACGCACAATAAGGGGCACACTCTGGACTTAATGATCTCAAAGGGTCTGAATATCTCTGAGGTTGTGGTGACTGATGTTGCGCTCTCTGATCATTCCTTTGAGAGCTCTATTTCTGTTCACACAAATGTTCAAAAAGAGGTAACCACAAAGCGATATTTAACTGAAAACACTAGGGAAATGTTTACTCAGGATGTTTCTTCCACACTTGCCCCTGCTAACATCTCAGTAGATGAGCTAGTAGATCATTTAATTCAAAAAAAATTTTTTTTATAGATGCCATTGCTCCAACTAAGGTAAAGGAAGTGACTGGCAAGAAAAGATCTCCATGGAGAAAGGCCATGACCGTGAGAACAGCCAAAAGAGAGTGTCGAAAAGCTGAACGTAGGTGGAGAAAAACAAATCTCCAGGTTCACTTTGAAATCTATAAAGAGAGACTTAGCTTTTATCATTTGGAATTGTAAATTGCACGACAGTCTTTCTTCTCTGACATCATTACCAAAAACAATGCACGTGCCTTGTTTGCTACCGTCAACAGACTAACAAACCCCACAGTGTCAGTATCCCCCCCATTCAGAAAATCAGACCAGCAGTCAGTGCCTCTGCATCAGGTACAGCAAATGTGTTGTCTCTGTGTCCACCTAAAATCAATACAAACACCATGACACAGTTCCATCAGATTAATGATAAAAACCTAGAGGACATGATTCAACTTCTGAAATCCTCCTCCTGCTGCCTTGATATTATTCCAACAGGGTTTTTCCAAGATGGTTTTCCTTGCATGGCCTCAGATCTACTTCACATATACCTCATTCACACCAACGGTGTTTCAGGGCCGGTTCGGAGCTGGAGCTTGAAAAGCACCGGGTTTTCCTTTTCACACCGCAGTGGAGCAGCCTCTTAGCTCCGGAATCCGGTTCGTTTCAAGCACCAAAAAATGTCCGGCCAGAGCAAAAGCACCGCATACGTCACGCTTACGTTGAGGCGGGGGCAGAGATAGATCAACTCCTGAACAACAACAAAAAGCCCGCGTTTTATCCAGTTTGTACACAACGATGGAGAAACAAGCAGCAGTGGTCCACTGAAGAGACCAGCTACCTACTGGGAATCTGGTCTTCCTTAGAGGTACAGAGGAAGCTGGAGCACAATCGGCCATTGTTGTTGTTATTGTTGTTGTCAGCTGTGAGGGGTTTCCGCGCGGTTTGGCTTTATGAAGCAGGCACGCAAACGGTTACGTCATGACGCAAACGATGACGCAATGACGCAGCACCAGTCGGACTCTGGGCGGTGTGAAAAGAGCCAGAGCTATACCGAAGAACCGGTTCTGAACCTGAAAAGCTCTAGCACGGAGCTTGAAACCTAGAGGACATTATTCAACTTCTGAAATCCTCCTCCTGCTGCCTTGATATTATTCCAACAGGATTTTTCCAAGATGTTTTTCCTTGCATGGCCTCAGATCTACTTCACATAGTAAACAAGTCTCTTCACTCAGGTGTTTTTCAACAGGCTCTGAAAACTGCAGTCATTAAACCGCTCTTAAAAAAAGAATAATCTAGACGCTTCAGTCATGAACAATTACAGGCCCATATCAAACCTCCCATTTCTAGGTAAAATCATTGAAAAAGTAGTTTTTCCAACAGTTGAGTAATTTCTTGCATGTAAATAACTGTTTGGATGTGTTCCAGTCAGGCTTTCGTCCAAACCACAGCACTGAGACTGCTCTTGTAAAAGTCTTCAATGACATCCACTTATGGCGCATTTCCACTGCAAGGCCTTGCACAGCTTAGTACGGTATAGTTAGGCCTTGGTAGGCCAGGCTCACTTTATGCTGCGTTTCCAATACAGTTTAGGAACTGGGGCAGTAACTAGGGTTGCAAAAATGCCAGGAATTTTCAAAGATGGAAACTTTCCACGGGAATAAATGGGAATTTTCTAAATTGAAGGTTGGCTCTTCATAGGGAACTTAAATATAGTTGGAGAAAGTATATGTTAGCATAATCTTGACTGCAACAAACAGATGCCATTCAAGTACACTTGAATATCCATGCCATAGCAAACTGCTTACTGCATGGCTATTGAGACCACACAAAGGTTCGCAACAGGCTCACAAATGTGAGAGTGGAAAAACTGGTTGGCATTCGGCAAACCTAAGAATCTTTGAGCCAGACACAGAGCCATCCTCAACAAGGCTGGACAGTGACACTGAAGAGGAAGACTCGGAGTGTGATGTTGATGAGGCCCAGGAAGAGCCCGTTGACTGAAAGGGTTTAGTCAAAATGCAGAGGATCGCTTGAAGGAAGATTTGCATGTTTAATGGGACTTTGTGGAGGGAGAAGGGCTCTTTTCATTTAACATTTTGAATGGGACTTTGTGGGGATCTGTGGATGGGGGTGCATTTTTGTTCATGACTGTGAATGTATGCAATATGTATGGCATTCATAATTTATATATAATTACATTAACTGTGAATGTCCTTCATTTTATTTCAAATAAAATAACAAAATATTTTAATAAAGATATTTGAGACTTTATGACTCACGCATGCACGATGCAAATCGGGCAGCCGTCTAGACGTCAAATGTCCTATTAGAGTTGCCGTATGGAGTTGTCAAATATGGCGGACCTTCTCGCACATGCGCACTGCAGATAGGGCAGGGCTGCAGATCGGGTAGTGACAATGTGAACCACAAAACCAACATCAGCCGTTAGCTGTTAGCCCTCAGAGCTCACAGCTCCTCATATCTGTTCAGAAACTAGACAGAAGTTAAACAAGTACAAACCACAGACTGTCTGTGTCATGGCGAATACAGTTGCTGGTTTATTTATGTCTGTATAGGGCGTTCTGAGCTGAATAAGGGCGTCACATGAAGGCAAGACGCCCGCCTGGCGGAAACGCTGGAATTAGGAATATATTGTGATGAAGTGCACACTGACCTGAGCTCCAGGGGTCTCTTTCTTATCCTCCATGCTGCTCATCAGCTGTCCTGATGAAGACCACAGAGCTGCTTCATTATTAATATAATACAAATATTTAGATATAATTCATCATAAACTGTCAGCAGTGAAGAGGAGGAATTCAAAGAGTTTATTCAATGATATGTTCTATTTCTAGATGCTTATATGTAGTGTTTTATCACACCATGTGCAGTGCCTTGTCTTATCTATGCTGCTGTGATGTAAACATGTTCCAAATTGATCCATTTAGTCAATGTGATGCTAAGCAGAGGAGAACATGATAGAAAGGTCAGATAGTTATTAACGTTACATGCAAATTACTTACAAAGTTGGTTTTCTGTGTAAATTATTATTAATATAATACAAATATTTAGATATAATTCATCATAATCTGTGTAGCAACTTACATTCTAACTTACAGCTCACAGTTTGTTCACTTTTATTTCATTAAAATGACTTTATTCACATAGAAAGTGACATTAATGGTTGTTTGAACCACGGTTATAGCGCTATCCGTGTGTAACTATCACTAAGTTAACACAGAAAGCAAACATTAGCTAGTGAGACTGTTTAATGTACTCCATGTATACAGTATTTTCTGTATATTGTGTATTCTTTAGATACTCTAGTGCAGTGTTTCTCAAACTTTTTCATACCAAGGACCACTTAACCAATAAAAAAACACTCGCGGACCACCTAACTCCACAAATATCCAAAAACACATCGTTTTTTACAAATCGCCTGAAGATTGTACAAACAAGTGGCAACATGTGTGATGAAGGTGTTTATCTGGGTTATATCATGCAATCGAAAGTGAAACTTAAGCTCGCTCCATTGTGGAGATATTCCCGCGAGAGTGCGGAAAACTTTAATTAATTAATTAATTAAAAATGTGAAATGTTACCAATATACTCACGGACCACTAGGGGGCGCTCACGGACCACCAGTGGTCCGCGGACCACACTTTGAGAAGCACTGCGTGATATGTGTCCTGTGTGTATACTTGCTGCTAATGCTTCATTTTTATTATCTTATTGCATCTTTTAAATATGTTTAACTCGTGTAATGCCTGAAAACACTTCTGCTGTGACACATTCATTTCCCACTTTAAGATAAATCATTATTTAAATAAAGTATATATATTTATCTAATGAGCTAAACCGTCGCTTAGCTTAGCGTTAGCTGCTAACTGAAGAACCCCATTCATTTCAATGGGGAAAATGCTACGTCGCCGTGAATGGCGATGCTAATAAGCTAGTTAGCGTATATTTAAAACCATATCTATGGTAAAGAGCACCAACACAATAACTCTAACCGTCTTAAACACAACTGGTGTAATAAATAACTAACATAAAGTCAGCTGAGCATTACAAATCAACTGTTACTCCCCCAGAGCCGAACTGGAAAGTTGTTTTGTGAGTTTATTTCTACCGAGATTATAGCTGTTGTGTTAAATAAGATAACTTCTGATTCGTGATTAACTGTAAACTAAGAGGTGTAAATACACTTAATGAAACCTCTGCAGGTGTTTAATCCACTCACCTCTTCTTTTCTCCTTCTTCTCCTCTCGGTTTTTGGCGGATTGCAAAGAACTTTAAAGGTGCTTCTTCTCTCGTTTTCTTCTTCTTCTTCTTTCGTGTTTATTGGCGGTTGGCAAACCAACTTGTAGGTGCATTACCGCCACCAACTGGACTGGAGTGTGGACAAGAGACTATGCAGAAAACAAGAAACAAAACAAACAAAACAAAGAACCAAAACTCTAGATTATTTTAAATGTATCAATTTCTCTTAGAAATTTAATAATCTCACAATATCTATTGCCTGATGTTTTCCCTAACAGCCCTGATAGCGACAAGTCATGGAATTTTGCTTTCTTCAGTGTCTGGAAAAGCACATTTCTCTGAGTACTATATTTCCTGCAAAGCAGTAAAACATGCTCAACAGTTTCTGGCTGGCTGCAGTGTGTACACTTTCCGGTTTGATGCTTTCCTATTATACTTAAAGTATGATTGAGACCTGTATTATACTTAAAGTATGATTGAGACCTGTATTATACTTAAAGTATGATTGAGACCTGTATTATACTTAAAGTATGATTGAGACCTGTATTATACTTAAAGTATGATTGAGACCTGTATTATACTTAAAGTATTATTGAGACCTGTATTATACTTAATGTATGATTGAGACCTGTATGACCTATTCTCATCCGAGAAATGACATTTTCCTCCCTTCTTTTAAACCCCACCTTCCTTCTGTGAAGTTAAAACTTCTTTGCAGCAATGTTGAGCGCATCATCAAATGAGGGAAACTGGATTCACCTGTCATACACTGATATTTATTGAGAGACAGACAATTACACACGGCCGGGAGATCATCCTAGTTTCACACTGTCCTTGTGCTCCACCAAGGTAATCTCTGCCCCAAAAGACACAAAACATCTAACCAACACGAGGAGAGGCGGGCTCCCAGAAAGCCCGCGTATACCTAATTAGTAGCAGATGTGAGACAATGGTCTACTTGTCTCAAAGAGATCCAGACAAGCCTCAACCTACACAGGGGTCTTTGACTGACTACAAGCAGATGTTTGCAGTATCACAGATTCTATAAAACAATAAGAAACTCTATAAACAGATCAGATGAAAATATTCTCTTACAGATTCACCCTTTTATCAATCTATTGATAACCAATTAACATTAGTCTAAGAATATTTCAGTCAATACTTAAAATCAATAGGCGTCCTCAGAGTTGGGTGGGCTCAGATACATTCATTACATTAAAAATAGAACAAGATTGAAAAAACACTTCAATCACCATGATTGAACACAGTCAATCATAATAAAAATCATCTCTCTTCAGTGCTTGGCATCTTTTGGCAAAAGGCACAATAATAAACACATGAAATACAACAATATTATAGCAAAATATATCTTTCAAAAATAAGATCTTTTATCATTTATCACTCAGTTAATCTCATTCATCAAACACAAATTCTAAATCATCTTACATCTCAAAGATTTACTTTAAGGCAATTACTTATTAAAAACACAATTAGAATTTAGGATTTATAATAAATCCAATTGAGGTATAAATCAGAATCATGAGAGATCCAGCTAAGGTTCCTAGTTAAGGTATACATTCACAGTGATGAATCGATCAATCTGTAATCTGTAAAGTTACAGTGTCCTCAATCTTTAACATTACTTTGCGTTTACTTCATTACGCTTTATTCAAGAGTAAAGCATGATATGTAATTAATTACATTACTTCAACTATCAATCATTATGTCATTTCAAAATCTGAAGGGAAAACTAAACAATTCTCAAAATGTTTAACAATCTGAAGAATCAAACATTTTATTGTATAACGACCTGAAAAGGAAAAAATCAAAACATCTGTTCTTTATTCAGAGCATCAACTGAGATCAATATCAAAACATCTGTTCTTTATTCAGAGCATCAACTGAGATCAATATCAAGACATCTGTTCTTTATTCAGAGCATCAACTGAGATCAATATCAAAACATCTGTTCTTACCTGGTAATGATTAAGGATAGTAACATTGTCTGTTATAATATTAGAAATATCTTATTGTTCAATACCTTATAAATCTGAAAATATCAATTAATTAGTTTAGTGTGAAAGTGTAATCTGATAAAATATATTTATCACCACTATTTAACACATATCTGTTCATTGGGAATACAAAAACAATCATTAATTGTACATCTGTAATCATCTGGTCATTCAATTCAAATGTTATCTTTGTACGAGAGCTAGAAGACATGTTGTCCTCCTCTCTTTATGACACAGAATGTCTGGTGTGTAAAGGCATCCTGATACTGTAGATTAGCACTGAGGTGCTGATTGGCTCAAAACTCTTCTTCATCAGAGCGCCATAACTCAATTATCTGTAGATTAGCACTGAGGTGCTGATTGGCTCAAAACTCTTCTTCATCAGAGCGCCATAACTCAATTATCTGTAGATTAGCACTGAGGTGCTGATTGGCTCAAAACTCTTCTTCATCAGAGCGCCATATCTCAATCCCCCCCAATTGCTCTGCTTTTGTGGCTCAATTCAGTGAGCACTGTATGATCTCCCAGTGAAACAGAGGCTCATCTGCCTGCATTCCTTCTGCTATCTGCTTGAGAGCACCTGCCTATTCCAAGTGGCACATCCAGATGCCCCCCCCCTGTGATGGGAGAGGTTATGAAAACATCTGCTCCTCCAAGAAACATAGAAACCTTGTATGAAGCCATCGCTCGTCCTGCGAGCGAAAATGAAGAAGCATCCCATCTCATCAGAAAGTTGAAGATTAGAATCCTCTCATCTCGAACGACCTCCTTGCCCGTGGATAAGTTGCTCTCTGCAGCCGCAGAGTGTGATCCTCTCTCTCTGACCCTTGGCCTTCAGAGCTGTCCTAGTTATTGGGTTAACACTTGATAGGGATGTTTTCCTGAGTGCAGACAACTCAAGGTAATGGATTAGCACATTATCATTCAATTACAAAAATAGGATAGGCCCCCTCAGAATGATTTGGGAGCCTTCCTGAGACATGCACATTATAAATGTAAGGTTCGTGTTAGTCATTTAACATGCAAGAATCATATACTCATCAGTCCAAAGCAGATAAATGTTATTTGAAGTTAAATGTGAGCTAGTCCCTGTGGAATAACCCTTTCTCAATGATTCTAGATGTTATATTAATTCACCATTTACCGTTTGATCAAGGATTAGTTTATCAGAAGTACATTTCCTCTTCCATAAAACATAGGTTTGAGAAATGAATGTTCCAATATGAAATCAATTTCTCAATTTCTCAATATAATTTGACTCTTCCCTCCCTTTTCTTACATATTGTCACATATGAAATAATAACTTAGGAGTCTATCTAAGCATGGTATTGTCTATATAAGCTATTAATCGAGAAAACTCAGAGTGAGTATGCAACTCGCAAATATCTCTCCTCCTTCCTATCCCTCTTTACTCACTTTCCCATCTCTTTCTCTCTTATTTCTGTTAGATATGAAGGAAAAACATACAAGTCCATGTAAGCATCTGAGTTACCACCGTTACCAAACGGTGTGCCGCGGCACACTGGTGTGCCGTGAGGCAAGTCCGGGTGTGCCGTGGGATTTTGTGACAACCATACATTATTTTTTCAATATACAACTACACAAAAATAATCATTTATTTTTTTTAATTTACTATATCAGTACTTTGTAGGTTTATGTACGTAATCTGCGCGACTTGCGCGTCCACATCTCCACGTGCAGTGCTGCATAAACATGGCTGAGTCAGCGATAACTATCGAGGGGTGGAGGTATGCCCATTATTTTATATCACGCAGTCTATTCTTCTTCTCTGTCTTCCGGTTGTTGCCTGTATTAAATGACAAATACACACTACCGCCATGGATTTGATATGAACGAGGCGGCAGTTAGCAGCTAGCGGCTAGCTAGTAATGATCTAGTGATATCGGTAATATTAACTCCATTTAATACAACATTTACGGTACAAGATTCAATCATACAGCCCATGTAGTATGACAATGAATTACAGCAAACATGTGCAATATATCCATTATTACAGCTCCGTGGGATGGCAGTAAGACGATATGGATCCGTTCCCATTGTGCATCCATGGGTAAAGAGAAACGCAACTCCCTCATACAGCATCTCTGTAAACTACGTGTATTCACTGAATTCCACTCTCTGCCTTTAACGCTCGTTGTAGCTCCAAAAGCTCCAGCCAGAGCCTGGCTCCAGCACCCTCCCTGTGAGCACAGTGTGCTCTGATTGGTCGGGACACGTAACAAAACGTGCCGGGCTGCGCGGTCCCGTGGATTAGATGCGCGTTCATAATGCAGAGGGAAATAACTCTCAGAATAACGTTATTAGCAAATGTTTTACAACTTGAGGAACGAATGTTTTTTAATAAGGGCTATACAAGTGTTCATACTGGGTAGTTTATTTAGTTAAAAAAATTATCCAACGAGTTACAGACCACTCTTTCCCCATGTAAGTCAATGGGAAAAGTGTTTTCGGGCCTGGCAACCAAACCGGAAGTGTAGTACCGCCGTTTGGCCAGCACGAATATTTTCATCTGAGTCCGGCGCACTACCTGGGGGCTTGACTACCGCCGCCTGCTGGTAAGGAAAGTTATTGCCACTCACGCATGCGCAGTTTGTACGTGCTCGGCGAGGAAAGTAACGAGTAAAGTACCGAGTTACTTTATGTAGATAGTAACGAAGTAGTGTAATATATTACATTTTTTTTAAGTAATACATTTATAATTTGTAGTTCCGGACCATGGACAATGCAGCTTCCTTGCATTGACAGTTGTCTGTGCTGAATTTCTGCTGAGTTTCTTTTGCCTCATTTTCTATTTTGTGACCTGTCTGGTGTAAATGAGTGTGTTGCTGGTTTGATGAAGCCTAATTTGATAAAGTTTCAAATTAATTTCGGAAATATTTCGTAATATAGTTGTCTTTGTCACATTTTATTTGGCATTAGTAAATAATTATGCACATTTACAGATACTTTACATGATATGAGTGATAACACGTGTTATAAGGGCTATCTTTTCACAATAGGTGTGCCTTGAGATTTTTTACTTGTCCTTTGGTGTGCCTTGGGCACAACAAAGTTTGGGAACCACTGGCATAAATGATAGTGGGCGTCTGAGGGTGTCATTACTGAGAAATGTCAAAGAAATTCAAAACCTTACATTTTAAAACAGGTTTGCATTCCTCCACTTAAGGTGACGTTATCATTGGAAACAATAAACCGAACTATTTTGATGTAGAATTTATAAATTGAATCGTTAGAGCAGAACAAAATGGTTGTATTGTAGCCTGAGTTCCGTGCAGCCCTAGTTTCAACAGGTGTAAACATGGTCCATATAATGTGAATACATGCAGAAGTAGACAGTAAGAGGCCCCTGACATCGTATTTGTTAAAATAGTAGGGGCTCTTCACTCTGCATAGCAGTATGAATAGCCTTAAAAAAACAAACAACCCACTCCGTGGTAACGAGAGTCATATTTCTGACCCATATGCCCTAAGTGAAG